TTGTCTTGTGTTCACCTCTGCATGTGTGTTCTGTGTTCACCTCTGCATGTGTGTTCTGTGTTCACCTCTTTATGTGTGTTCTGTGTTCACCTCTGCATGTGTGTTCAGTGCCGTGTGTCTGGCAAATAAAGTCAAACCCCTCAAAAGTTACGGTTTATTTCATTTTAAGGATGAGCACCAAGCAACATCTCCAAGTGCTCCTTTGAGAACCAGGGCAAAAAATGTTATGTGCACCCCTGATTATATTGCAGTTTTAGTGTCGCCAACTCCGTTTCTAATATGCAAAAAGCGTCTATGATTATTTTTAGTATTTTCGATCTCGCGAGGGGCGGGGCAGTTTACACACACACACACACACACACACACACACACACAGCTGCTACATGCAGCAACACACACACACACGGCGGAGATGGCGAAGAGAACGCGCTCCGTGGTGTGCTTAAACTTTACCCGTCTCCATGTGGACAATGCTCGTTGCCAAAAGTGCAATAAGAGTTCAGCATGTGAGGGCGGAAACACGAGCAATTTATCTAAACATTTAGCAAAAGTGCTCCACATTCAGACGGAGAAATGCACCGTTTTCGATTGTCTTTCTAGCAGCTCTGTAGCCCCATCCACGAGCAACGTTTCCACGTCAGGTGTTATGTATGCTAGCAGCACCACACAGAGTTAACTACATGATACAAACATGGGTTAATGATTAGAGGTAACTGAGTTATTTAGTTTGTTAAAAGTTTCAGCTATTCTGTTTACAGTTCTGTCATCACATTATTTAATACGATTTGTTAAAACATTGTTGTTTCTTTTGATGTGAAATATTATGTATTTAATTTAAATAAAAAGCAATGTTAGTTTTGTTCACAATTTGTTTAGTTAGTTTATCTTATTTTTTTCTCCAAAAGAACCGATAAAAGTACCGTTAAAAGACCGGACCGATAAGCGGTATCGATAAGAGTAGTAGTACCGTTAAAACCTTAACGATACCCATCCCTACACGGGGAGCAACAGGACCCGAGCAGCGAGTAGTAAACGCGAAATTACGGCCAAGAAACTAAATTAAAGTTGAATCTGTAGTCCCTGGGTGGAAGCCACTAGTGATGCACAGGTTAATGAGATAAAAGATCTTTTTGTGAATCCAATCCATACGCTTTGTCAAAACAGTCAATAAAACATCAGACAAACAATTAAAAAAACAAGACAGAAAATAACAACCACCTCGAAACAAACAACACAATCGTAGATTCCCAGTAGAGAGCCCACAAACAGCAATAACATAAAAAGAAAACTGGTTTCAAATGGGCAATGTGGATTCTTGTTAATTTGAAGTTTGATCTTTATGTGTTTTGCTTTTTTGCAGGTTGTGAGGAACCACGAGCTTGTGGGTCAGGTCAGCCTCGATCAGCTAGAGGCAAGGGTTGGGAAGCTGCCAGAAGAGGAACAAGAACCTTCGTCTAACTTGGAGCATCAAAGCAACGAAAGCGATGATGCAGAAACAGATGAGTGTGTAACTGGCAGTAATGATGGTCCGCATAAGACACAAGTTAAGGAACTGACAGAAAATGAGGTGGGGGACGAAGTGAAACCACAGACCGAGGCAGTAGTGTTCTCGCCGGCCCAACCGGTACTTGGGGAAAGTGAAGACAACTGCACAATGTTCAGGCAACTAAAAGAACTGATGACACTGGGGAGCTCAACAAAATATGCTAAGATCCCCGCAAAAACACAGGACTGTAAGCCGCATAATGAGGCTCCTCAAGAAAAAGCATTTGGATCTACCTGTACGAAGACAGATCAGAATAGAACGACAAAGACAGATGAGAACACTGAGTCCGAGGTTGTAGATAAAGTTCAAAGGGAGACAGTATTGCTGGGTGAAAAAAGTGGCAAATCTCTGCCAAATGACCCACAAAATCAAACTAATGCCGAGGCAAGTTCAGCCGTTTGTATTGTGTCGCCCAAGTGTGAACAGATAAGCAATAAGGAAAGCTTAGATGTCTCACTGACCAACTACAAAAACCAACAGGTGCACAAAAACATTGTGGAGGCGAGAGACCCTTATGGGGACATGCCAGTACTCGAGAAGGAATATCTCAAAGAAGAAATGCAGCCTCTTGGTTGTTTCAAGGCGAAAGATCAGAGTGACCATCTTCAGCAAAAGCAGGACAAAACAGATGAGACGATCGCTGACGGGAGGAAGGAAGATCCTTATGTGCCCAAAGGTAAGATACTGATCACATTGAGTACAAATATACAATTCTAAACATTTAGAGATGAGTTGTTGCAGAGCTAAGAAAAACATAACAACGCTGCTGCCCTCATTGCTTTCATTGTAAGTCTGTTCTCAGTCTGGATGCCTTTCACTGCCTCAGTGAAAGGGGCCTGGCAAAAAACGTTTATTTTCATTATCTATTAACCAGCTGATTATATTGATACCTTGTTTATTAAGTATTTAAGTATAAAGACACATCTTTATCCTGTTTTTGTTTGACCAACAGTCAGAAGGTATTTCGTAAAACAGAGAAAGGCCTCAAATTATCACAGTGGAAGCAACTAAATACATAATGTGAAAAGTATGCCTGCCTTTTTCTGTGATTTAGCTTTTCAGTCATTTATGCTCTCATGCAAAAATGTTAAACATTTGTAGGGTCTCTGTTTGATGATAACCTTTTAATGTTTGACTGCCAAAACATGAAAGTCATCTTATCATCCTGAAAATATTTATTGTCGCTATTTTCTGGACATTTTAGACTAAATAATTAATCGTTTCATGGCGGGACAACACATTTAATTGTTAGTTTGCAGCCTTAATTAGGTTTTGGAAACTGCATGTTAACACCAGCTGAATTATTTCTGTTTTCCTTTAGATGCACTCACAGAGGGAGATGCTGACGCTCTTCGCCCAGCAGCCACAGAGGAACAGCCATTTACCTGCCAGTTGTGTGGACGAAACCTCATGAACAGCTCTGAGCTGCAGCGTCACATCCTTCGACATGGAATATAATGTTTTTTGTTTCGTACGTAGCGAGAGGCGTCAACCCTTGATTTTCTCCATGAGAATCTAGATTTGTTTTCATCATCCGTCCTCTACTCTGTTACTGTAAAGTGTAAATCTGTTTAACCAGGTAACATATATATGTTTTATAGATTTTAACCTTTTTTATAATTAAATGGTTTTTTTGGTACAGCTGTTATGCGTAGGATTTAATTAGTGTGATTAAGCAAATCAAACTTTGGAGCTAAGATGGTGGATGTATAAAGTGTGAAGCTTTGTCAAAAAGACATTAATGGTTATGCATGAATAACTCATGCGAAGATCCTTGTTTCTTGTTGTTTTTTTTTAAATTCCTGCAGTTATTTTTAATGAATGTGTTAACCATTTAATACTGTAAAACATGCAACAATATTTACACTGTGAACTTTTGTTACATATGGAACATTTATGTTCAGTATGAAGAACTGCTCAAAACCATTGATTGTGAAAATGCTGGTGCTGCATTCAGGTGCTGTTGGGTATTTGATACCAGGAAGAGCTGTTGTTATCTGTCAGGCAGCTTAATTTCATTCAGCATCAGTAACACAACTGGATTATAACCTATTGCATTTTCTCAATACTGCATTTAGGATTTTTTTTTTTATTCAATGCAACTTCATAATTTTACTCGGAGGCAAATATTCCATGTACACTTTGTCTAACCGTTTTAGTTACCTTCAGGATTACAATTGTTTCCTTTTCAGTGAAAACCACGTAAAACCAGATGTATTGATTTTGAATGTTTGTGATGAACAGAATGATACGTGTTGTGATAATTCTACTTCTTATGTTAAATAAACTTTTTTTTAAAGCCTCTTGGATCAGCTGAAAGAATCAGTCAAAAAGCAGAACACGGCTGTTTTCCTGAGAAACTTGAAATATTGAGAAACGTGGTTCTCTGAGGACAGCAACAACGCTACATAAAAATGCTCATGTAGAATATGATGCATTGCTGTAGATTCAAGTACCAAACACTGTAAAGTAGTTAAAATAGGCACAATGTAAAAAGTGGGACCTTAAAGGTAAACTATTATGCTATTATAAATGAATTGTGAATGATTCGAAGCTTCACTTGATTGATATAAATGAAAATAGAGAAATCATCTTGTTTTATTGAAACAAAACATTTGTTCTTTCTATTTTTTTCGAACTTGAAGCTTTCATTTGTGTTTTAGATGTTTTCGTTAAACAAACTAAAACCATGAGAGTAGATAAACACTGGAAGAGAACAGATCAGACGGTTCTGTAAATGCTTTATGTATTACTTTAGAAGATCAAGAAATCAGTGTGAAAAAAGCAAGGCATGAATTAAAAAAGATTAAATGGTTTCTAAACAAAATAATTATTTAAACTGAGCTAATGTCATAAGGTACACAACACAACGTGACAAATGCCCCTTATGCAGATTAGATGAGTATTAATAGTATTAATCTGATAACTAATAATAATTTTCTTTTTTTTAACAATTCATTATTATTTTTCTTTGTGGATTGTTGTTTGTGTATTTTAACTGTTTTGATTTTGTTGTGTAGTATAACCTATATATACAGTCTATGAGTATAACAACCCCTTACCTATACTTTCTTAAAATAAAAGAAGAATCAGAGTGATGCCTTCAGGTTGCGCAGGGCTCCCCATACGCGGAGGAGACTCCCATTAGTTGTACGGGACCATGACAGGTAAATCGTAATATTGAAATATCGAGTCGTAATAATGAACTAATAAGATGCTATACTAATACAAAACATTGAGATTAAAAGACAAAATATGGAGTTTTTTAGGATTTTGTGATGCTAGGTCATTCTTTTTTTTAAATAGTTTCTCGTTCAAATGACATACAGTACATTGTTTCCTTTTCGTTAGCGAAAATGGGTTTCCAAACCAGTAGCCTACGGTGGGGTGGGTAAGTCAATTAGCGTTACACCTCTGCCACACGAAAGAGAGCGCATCGCGGAAATACGAGTTTACGAGGAACACGTGAAGGCATCATTTTCTTCTGCATACGAGGAGCCAGCTTCCTGGTGTGGACTCATAATAATGGACTGTTGAGAGAGGGAGAGAGTAGACAGCTCTCGGTGTGATCTGCGGCGATAGTGTAAGTATAGAAGCTGTTCAAATGTTTCTGTGGTCTTTGTTAAATACACTGCCTTTCCGAGGAGAGGTGATGCTGGTAGGTGCGGATCGATATCAGACCATAACTGCGGAGGCAACCACTTGTAGGACATCTGATTTAAGTTATTGGAGCTATAGTTGTTGGACTTATTGTAGTTAATATAATCTTTGCATGTGTGCATTTACTGAGGAGTTATAAACTGAGAAAAACTTTGATCCGAGCATTTTCCTTCCTGCTTGAGCTACACCTTTTGTCTCTCTTTCCTGATGAGTTACTGTAAGAAGTAGTAAAGACTATAGATTGCAACATTCAAGGCACATCTACTTTTGTAAACATCTAGCTACTTACATATGGCATATCTGAGTCACTTTGCCATATTGAAAACTTTCACATTTTCCCTGTCATGCTGCACATGGAATTAAACTTCTCACCTGTTCATTTTTCCACTAAAATGTATCCCTTTATCTTGATGCCAGTCTACTGTCTTTGTTAGTGCTTCAGTTTACATATGCCTGGTTAACGTATATTTACTAAACACTAACTGACATACTGTAAAGAGGACTTTTCCAGGACTGAACGATGCAGTGTGCTGCTAATACATTATAGAGAAAATTGAGACTATGTTTAGTTGATTCACGTTTAGTTAACTACTAATAATTAAAATCTATTTTGGACATGCACAATTGTAAAAAGGTGTGTCAACTGTGTTGCTTGTCATTTAGATTAGATTATAATGCATATTAATGTAGAAATATAAATGTTGTGTTTTTGTTATTATTGCTATAATTCATTAAGCAAAAAGTGACAATGTTTATTAAAAAAACAATTGAATACTTATTTTAAAAACTGTCTCTAAAATCTAAATATTTTGAGAATAAAATGTCCAATAATGATTTCTAAGTGATTGAAAGTTTTACTGGGTCTTAAACGAAGCAGGTCTTTTGAGGAAATGTAGAAAATGTTTTTTAAACCGTTTTTTTTTTGTTGGAGGAAGCTCTCATTGAAGTTATTAGGAAATAACAGACCTGTGAGATCTGTCTGTGTGTAGTAATTGTGATCCTTCTGCTTTTAACTTGTTATTTGGGATACAAATGCAGATCTGTTGGCATGCTTTGAAAATTAAATTTACTATGATTTTATTTTCATGTCAGTGCAGCTCTTCTAATGAATACCATATGTGTTTTACTTGTGAACAGGACCAGTAAGGACACCGACTTCAGTCTGAGGAATGTCAGACATAAACAAATCTGCAGAGGATGGTGGAGCCTTCTCCTCGAAGGTCATAAACATTGTGTTTATCACACTGCTGTTGGACCTGCTGGGATTTACACTGATTCTACCTCTACTACCATCCATTTTAGACCATTATGCACAAACCGGGGTTAGTTTTGCTTGCTTTATTTCAATATATAACCCCTACAAGGTACTGTTACAGCAGTCTGCTGACTCGAAATGTGCTTTTGAAATGTGTTGGCTCATTAATATCAGAGATAATATTAGAATCAGAATCAACGGTGAACTTTTTTATATTGTTTCAATATGGATATTTGAAGTAGTTGAAAATAAAAGGCAACCATTTTGATAATATATGAACTAGAACAGAATGTAGTAGGCTTATGATCAAATTGGGTAACAAATGTAAAAACATATGGTAAACCTTTCGGTAATATATTAAGTGGGCCACAATAAAATAAGCAAAACATATATAAAGAGTTATCAACTACTCTTGTAGAAATCTAATAAGAAAACATTTGAAATCAGGATAAACCTTTATAATAGTTACTCTTATTTTAACAGACAATCCCCGAGCCGAGTTACTAGTCTTGCTTTCTTACTTCTTAAGTGTAATTGATTCCCTGTAGATTAGAGATATAATTATCACATGACCATTTTTTTTTGTAAGTTTGAATCCCAGAATAGTTTAGAGGGTATGGATGCCAGACAATAAGCACTGGTCCCGGAGCAAGATCAGTTTCACCGGCGTGACAGTGTTTATAGTTTCAAACTTTAGAAACTGATTCTACTGTGGTTAAAAAAGGATTTTGAGTGTTGTATTTTGGCCAGATGATGTGCAGAAGTGAACAAAGGAAGCCTTATGTGAAGAATATGATCCATGAAAACCAACTCAGGAGTTGTTAGATTATCAGCCATTGGCTGCGTGTGTGAGTGTCTGCGTGCTGACTCATGCTGAGTGGACCTCTGTTATTATTCTCCAGTGTGATTTTGTATTTTCCTTGACTTGTTGGACAGGATGGCGTATATCAGTCTCTGCAGAGTCTTGTGGACTTGTTTAGGGAGGCCTTGGGGATCCCTATGGAAGAAAAATACAACAGTGTCCTGTTTGGAGGTATACCTAGCCTATGTGGAGCTCTATCTTTTATGACACTATAAACAATACAAATATTATTTATGCAAAGAGAGTTAATTAATTACGTGCTCCTTGATGAATTTCAGGTCTGATAGGGTCGCTGTTCTCACTGCTGCAGTTCCTGTCATCACCTGTAACCGGAGCCCTGTCTGACCGTTATGGTAGGCGGCCCCTGCTCATTCTTACCACAGTGAGTAAAACGACATATTATACCTTTTTTAATAACTTCTATATATAAGTATCCCTCCACATTGGATGCAACTAGAATCATTCACTTGGCACTACTCACACTTCATTTGTGAAGAAGAAACCATGCAGCCTTTTCCATCCGCCGCGATTCAACAAGGTCTAATTGGGTTCCTTGTGTTCCAGTTGGGGCTGATGTCCTCCTATGCGGTCTGGGGCCGTTTCCCGGAGCTTCAGCATGTTCCTTTTGTTTCGAGTAATTGGTGGCATTTGTAAGGGCAACGTCAGCCTCTGCACTGCCATCGTTGCCGACTTGCCTTGCCCAAAAGCACGGAACAGAGGAATGGTAAGCACAGACTTTCTTTGTCCATAACAGGAAATGTATTGTAATAATATGATATCTTAAAACTACATAATGTGATTGAATGTATGTTCGATCTTTTGCTAGATGTGTGAAAGTACTGCTAGTTTTGATTTGAATCTTTAACCAGGGCTCTGACTCTAACATTTCGCTAGTGGACATGAAGTTGCTGAATATCCACTCTTGCTGTCTTTGTATCTGTTAGATGATCAGGTAAATGTCCTTAATCTAACTTTATTTGTATCCTCACCAGGCTATGATCGGCATCGCCTTCTCCCTAGGCTTCACTGTGGGCCCGTTGATGGGAGCCTACTTTGCCCTCCGCTCCAGAACAACGGGAAATGTCTTCTACCAAACTCCAGCTCTGCTCGCCTTGGCCTTCAGTGTTGCTGACCTGCTCTTTATTTGGGTCATGATGCCAGAGACGCTCACAAAGGATGCCAAGGTTGGTTATGAAAACATTTTGGAAACATTCACTCATCCAAGTGACAAACTTAGCCAGACACAGGGACTACGCTTTCTATTGCTGTTATATCTTTTCATAGCTTAGCAAAACAATCTGTACGCAGGAGATAACAGCTTGTCTGGCTTTTATCCAAAGTAAAAAAAATGTTGGCTCACTTATTAACTTGTTTGTTTAATCTGTGCAAAAACTTGTAAAAACGTCACATTGATGTTGGGTAATGCCAGACTACTTCTTGGAACTTCTTGAATAGACTCCAGGAAGTGATTTGTATTTAGACGTCTTGTCAGTCTGACGCTGGGAATTACCTGGTGTTGCCAAACTTTATGACAGTGTACATTGTCTTGCACTAAAAAGTACTACAAAGATAAAGGAAACACTGACAGAGCTGTCAATCAAGTACAGTTTGTACAAGCCCACACAGAAGAAAAAACAAGGCAACATCATTTTTTTTTAAAAGTACACTAACAAATATGTATAAAAGTATCTTTTGGTTTTTCTGTTTGCATCCTAGGCTTCATCTTCTAAGTTTGGGGACTCCAGTGACTTTCTCAACCCGTTATCGTTGTTCCATTTTTCAGCTGTTAGCAGAACAAAAGATCCACCTCCAAAACAAAGTAAGTGCAGCACAGACTGGATTCCTCTGTGAGGCAAAAGCTTACACGTATTTGACCAATTTATAATGCATGGATGAACTTTGGCCCATTGATGGATAAAAGGTGGAAATGTCTTTACAGGAATGCAGAAACTTCAAGCGTTGGGTCTGGTTTATTTCTGCTACCTCTTCCTGTTCTCTGGTCTGGAGTTCACTCTGAGTTTTCTGACTCACCAACGCTTCCACTTTACAAGGTATGAACTCAAAGATAAAGCTTTGGCCTCCCTCAGTAACAGTAAACACACCTGGACACCAACCCTGTTACAAGGTTCATACAAAGTCTTAAAAGTTTAGGGAATTCATTGAACTTATATGTATTCGAGGTTTGGAGTATGCTTTAATACACACTTACTCCTGGAAAAATGCTTAATTGTTCAAGATCATGTAGTGTTTAATTCACACAAACCAAAAGTATTTTAAAATATTTTAAATCATCATATTTGTTTGTCACGGCATCTCACACCAGTAGTAGAGACAATATACATTGATGCTTCGATTATAGAGGAATTATGTACATATATTTATTTGCAATACCATTTTTTCATGACAAAAAAGCCCTTTGAACATTTGAACCTATAGAGGAATTATATATTATAAGTACAATATTCGCTATACCATTTTTGCTATCAATCAAGGCTTCCAGAATCGGGGCTTATTTTGGTTTAGGTTCCTTAAAAGCGCTTGAATGTTACACTTAAAAAGCTGTACAACCTGTGTTCTTACTTTTTCAAGTATGCAGCAGGGAAAGATGTTCTTCTTCATCGGTGTCATCATGGCCTCCATACAGGGGGGTTATGCTCGCAGAATCAAACCTGGGCAGCATATCAGGGCTGTTCAAGTGGTAGGAGTTCCTTCTGTTTACATGACAAATAACTGCACAATAAAATACTCTTTACATTGCTGCAAATACATGATAAACCACAGTTCTTTAATTAACCTTTTTGTTCTTCTTTTAGGCAATCATTGCATTAATCCCAGCGTTTATCCTCATTGGGCTCTCATGGAATATTACAATGCTTTACGTTGGATTGGCGTTATACTCATTTGGTGAGCTCATTTTTCATTGTGTGTCATGTTCAGACTAGTTAGACCCTATATTCGACCTAGGAATGTAAGGAATTTGTGAAATATAATTGATAACAAATTGTTTAATGCATGAACTGTAAGTAGATTTACAATTTGAAATAAATGAGATGAAAATATAATACCAAACCACATAGCAAAAAAGTAAGACTTTTCAACAGTGAACATAGATAAACTACACAGTGCCTTTTTAATCAAATTCACACAAAAAGAATACTGTTCAATAACAATATTAATGTACCCTGTGTTTACATCTAATGTAATTTACTTTTGTAACAGCGGCTGCAATAGTTGTCCCATGCCTGTCTACACTTGTTTCTGACCACGGTTAGCATCTTAATTATTTTATATTTATGAAAACGTACAAACCATTTCAATTCAACTATAATGTCCACAATGTTGCTGATTATCTACTGTGGATAAATCTACAGGGTCAGCCAATCAGAAGGGCACAGTGATGGGGATTCTGCGAAGTTTGGGCGCTCTGGCCAGAGCACTGGGACCAGTTGTATCATCCTCTGGTAAGTAAGACAGCAATGGCAACAAATGCAGCTAAAATCCAAAATATGACATATTATGCCTATGTGTGCACTGTGTATGAATATGTTTGCCTTGTAAAATAAGCTCTTTGCAGTGTACTTATAATAACTGTTGTGTTTTTCTTCACAGTATACTGGATAGCTGGAGCTCAGATCTGCTTTCTCCTTACATCGGCCTCTTTCATTATTCCTCTGGCTCTCCTGAGAACAGCCAGCAGGCTAAAGGAGGAGTGAAAGACTGATTGCAGACATTTTTTATGTTTGAATTAATGTTATAATGTTTACATCGGCTGGGAGAAAAAGCATTAATGTCTTACTCTGATACATACAAACATAATAATGAGATGTATACCCTTTGCACTGTTTGCAAAGTATCCTCACATGAAATAAATCTTTCATGATGCAGATGCCAAAAACCAAGTACTAATATTAAACAAATTACATTTTACCTTTTGAATGTGCACATGTATGTGGGTTACAGAGAACAACTATGCTTGTAGATATTTTTTTATAATGCATTTTTTAAGAATTCACAAGCAGCATTGTACTTTAAAGTTGAATTATTTTATGTTTTTCTTATTGTTTTGGATATATATTGTATCACACTTCTTCTTTTTTAATAAACTTTCATTTAGTATTTTCATGTTTTGCTTATTTACACTATATCTTGACTACATATTGTTATTCCAAAACATATATCTAGATTTAAACTAAACAAGGACATATCAAGAAAAATATGTCAAGGTTAACAGTGGTATTGTTCAAGTGAGAGTAGTGATAAATAGCAGCACAGTCATTAAAAAATGTTATTAAAAAGGCATGTACACCATAACAGATTACTATTGAGGTATATTGTCAGGAATGTTAGTGTTATGTCAAATAGTGAATTCTACTGCAGTAGAATGTTGCAGTGTTATATTTTCACAGCTCAGTGTCAGTAAATACTGTGCAGTTAGTATTGGACTACAAGATAGATGCAAGCCTGTACAGGTAGAGTTATTTAAAGCATAAATGAGTCGGTTGGGTTCTGAAGGTGTGGTTACAGCAATTGTGCTTGGTTGGCGTGACCTGGGCCTGGTGGTGGGGCTCAATGTGATATATTTTCATGGGGCCCAAAATCCCTGGCGGCGCCCCTGAGCACAGTTACATGTTACATAGAGTTAGTATGTTAACAATGTAAACCCGACTGATGATATGGTTAAATGGCATCAATAACACATAATATAATGAAGGAGCAGAAAAGTCTACCAAATACAACAGTATCATTCAATATAAAATGTCATCAAGGATGCAAAGATATTAAAAAGACACATGCATCTGATTGACAGAGAGCTGTGACACTGTTTGGTAACCACTTATGGCAGGCCTACTACCGATTTTGTATTTCTATCATCAATTTGACAGCGCTTTATGTTATCACAACTGGCTAAAGTCTTGACTCAGTGTTATTTGTGCTTTCTTTATTTAAACTAGTTAAATGGTGACACAATATTGTTTTATTCATACTCTTAATATATTATTATTTGTAGATATTATTATAGTTAGTGTTGTTTGGAGCTTCTGAAGATGTGTTAGTTGGGATGTAAGCCAGAAGATGTCGCTGTTAGCTCTCATCACTGCACACACTCATCAGCAGTTTCAGGCTGAACTGAGCTAGCTGCTATGCTATCAAACAGGTTGTTAGCCCGTAGAGCTTACACACTGTTGAAGTAGTTAGATAAACGCAGCAGCGTTGTGACAGGGAGCCTGACAACACGTGGAAGTCAGACAGAGTGAACATGCGGATATGTGACTACATATAGGAAAACACGAATATGGACAAGGTAGTTTACCAGAAATAACGTTACGATTGTTTTTTAGCTAGCAAGTTAGCCAGTAACGCTAAAAACCGCTGTCGTGTGTAGCTAACTGCTAACTTTTGGATAACTTAAGTGGTTGTGTAGATGTTACTTTAAGTTAACAGCCCTATTACCAGATCAATATGCTGTTTTTTTAGACTTTTTGTAATGCATTTAGCTTCGAAAGTATACTCAAAAGTTAGGTCTGTCACCTTAGCTAACCTAGATGTTGATTTGAGCTAACGGCTAAATAGTTTAATCTTTAACTGAACTAGAAACAAAAGTTGAGACTAACCAACTATTTAGTCTGAGAGAAGTGTGTGTCTAAAGGGATCTAGTAGTTTTGATATACGTATGGCAATACAAGGCTTCACTTGAATAACTAGCCAAAGGTCGTATTCCAGCAGACTGTTGACAATCTTTACTTTTCCCCAGGAGAGCAAACTGTCATCTGCTGCCCTGCAGTCTTCTGACTTGAGGCTGCAGTGGAGACAGAGAAAGGATCCTGCAGAGCCACACACAGCCTCATCCCCACCTCTAATGCTACCAAATCCTTATGTGTCTGAACAGAGTTTAAGAGGGTAGGCGTGGAAAAATGAAACATTTATTTAAATTGTAATCTCTGTGTTGATGTCCAAGTGTTGTATTCAATACTTGTTTTCACTTATATTGGACCTATCTGTCTGAAGTTGAAGGGAATTCATAGACCGACCTCCAGCCCCTTATTTGTGTAAATATCCAAACTTTGTTAAGGAACTGGTCGTCAGGTCACAGCCAGAAGCAGAATCCATCAAATACAAATGGAGCAACAGCAGAGGGAAAAGTAGTAGGCGTGTCAAGAAGCCATGGCTACAGCAGCAGCCGTCGAGTTAAAGACACCAGGGAGGATGTCCTGCAGAGAGAAAGGTCCACACAGGATGCACAAGCAAAGGTTAGTTTCATTTGCACCTCTATCATTTTACAGGAAAAAAAGTAGCAAAAAGAAAGTAATTTCAGCTATTTTTTTCCAACTTCACAGACATCAAAAGGCAACATTGGCTTCCCTGCGCAAGGCAGATTTCTGAGCAAGAACTCACTGGAAGCCCAGAAAAAAGGTACTAGGCATCACCCATGGCTTTGTTGAATTATTCCTGAATAATTGTAATAATGTTTATTAAACTTTGCTTGTTATTGCACCTTTAGGTTTTAGAAGTGCCAGGTCTGCCCCAAACTCTGAAGGGAAGTCCAAACCAGCAAAGGAAGACTTGGCCCCATTTGAAGTGAAGATGACTGACTTCCCAGAGTTAGCTGGGGGTCCGATGGGCAAACCGGGCCCTCCGATTGCTTCAAGAGAAGGCTGGGGTCTAACTCCTCCTCCAACCCCGAGCCCACAAACACAAACATCAGCATCTTCATGGAAGGTGAGAAATGAAATGTGATGTTGAAATGTGAATGCTCCACAAACGTAGAGTGCTACTCATACATTTGGTGTTACTGTAATTTTCTATTGAATAGTCTGCCAGGAAAGAATCCCCAACACAGACTGACCCCCGAAAAATATACACCAATGCTAAGCCAGATTCATCAGCTACGTCAACAGGTAAGAGAAAGTACCCATAGTCAGCCTTTCAATGACTATAACCAGGGGTGCACATAACTTTTTTGTCCTGGTTCTCAAAGGAGCACCTGGAGATGTTGCTTGGTGCTCATCCTTAAAATGAAATAAACCGTAACTTTTGAGGGGTTTGACTTTATTTGCCAGACACACGGCACTGAACACACATGCAGAGGTGAACACAGAACACACATGCAGAGGTGAACACAGAACACACATGCAGAGGTGAACACAGAACACACATGCAGAGGTGAACACAGAACACACATGCAGAGGTGAACACAGAACACACATGCAGAGGTGAACACTGAACACACATGCAGAGGTGAACACAGAACACACATGCAGAGGTGAACACTGAACACACATGCAGAGGTGAACACTGAACACACATGCAGAGGTGAACACAGAACACACATGCAGAGGTGAACACAGAACACACATACAGAGGTGAACACAGAACACACATGCAGAGGTGAACACAAGACAACATTAGCACGACCAGTAATCCTACAAGCTGTCATCACTACCCTCCTGACTGTTCTCCTCACTGTCTTCCTCTCTGTCAGACATGGTAGCTGATGATGTAGGCCTACTTCTTCCTCTCTGGTTGAGTCTGTGATTAGCTGCTTGCATCCACAAGTCAACAGCTGGTTTTGAGTCGAAAGTCTCTGTTGTCATCTTAGACAAGTGGATGTAATCAAATAAGTATGTGAACATAACCAATAACCTACCATAGCAAATAACAAATGAATGGAACTTATTTTATTTATGTTGTTCATTCATATCTTATTTTACCTTAACATTTATTTATTTATGCATTTTTTTTTATCTCTCCAGTTTTAAAGGATATGTTTGGTTACTGTCTTATAGTATACATTGGAATGATTTAAAACCTGTTTATCCCAATAATTATAAAGGAGTGCCTTGAAAATATGTGTTTACATAAATTGTGACCAAACCGTTTGAACTTAGACTAAGAGTCCTTACCTCACTGAGCTGTAGTTATCAGCCTCTCAGTCTGACTGGAGAGGACTCTCCCTCCACATTATTGTAGAAACATCTTCTTCTTATATCCGTTAGAGCAGCTAGCACCAGATTCTAATAACAACAGCGCCGGAACCGGTGCACCCTCCCTCTCTCCCACGCTCACTCGCACTTTGGCTGTGAGCTGCGGGCGCCAGATAAGCCAACATCCCCTATTTTCATCACTTACAGCGCCCATCGTACAGGGCAAATGAAACGTGTAACCGGGAAGAAAAGGGTGTTACATTTACTTAATTATGAATGTTGTTACATCAAGGCCGAAAATTAGGATGAGCCCCAACGGTCAAAAAAAATGTTTCCCTCCCAGAGCTGCCAGCGCAGCGCCTCCACAGATCTGGCGCCCTGCGCACCAGTTATGTGCAGCCCTGACTATAAGGCAGTGTCAGTTATATTTCATTTCATCTATGTATTTATTTCTGTGAGCAGGTCAGCCTGAGGTAACCTCCTGGGCTAATGTTGCCTCTCAGCCTCCAAAGAAACCTGTTCCTAAAGAGAAGACCATCAACAGCGACCACATGCAGGTTAGATTACATTTATATTTGAATTCAGCCTAGGATATGGATTTTTACAGGGTGTTGCAGATTTTGAAAAGTCTTAAAAATAGTTTTATTTAGTTTTAAAAGTATTTGAACTTGATCTTTCTTGCCTGATACATGGCTTTTTATTCTGTTAAAGGTGTCAGTACCTTTTAAGTAATACATGTCTTTGTCAGGTAATTATCTGGGTTTTTCTGCAGTCCCTTGTGCAACATTGTTTTCTGTCCCTTCTCTTCAGACGGAAGAAATGACTGCACAGCAGGAAGAGGGAGCTCCAGGGAAGAAAAAGAGAAAGAAAAAGAAGAAGAAGTCTAAAGGTGAAGATGCAGAAGCTGAGGCCGAAGAGCCAGCAATGTATCAGGCACCTCCTAAATTTGAGGTAAGTGAAAATGATGTCTCTTTTTCTATATATAATATATTTAAGTATATTTGTGTTGGAGGATGATTTTGTTGCATTTTGTCTTCTCAGGATGAGGAAGAGTTCCCAGGCTTGACTCCTGCTCTGACTGGGGCAGATAGATTGACAACCAGCAGCTATGCAGCAAAACTAGGCAATGAGGTAGAAATCAGTTATTTCTTCTCCCAGATGGGTTCACATAAAACACTGTGTCTTTGTCTGGTGTTGCTAATATGAAATTACGTAGGTGGAAAATCCACAGGTTATTGTCTTTAAAATGATGCAGCACTAGTGCAAGGCCTCTCAGGGCTTTGTAAGTAATCAGTTACATTTTAAAATCAATTCTAAAAGCAACAGATAGCAAGTGTAAAGGAGCAAGGATCGGTTTGATATGTTCATGTTTGGAGTCTCAGGAAAAGCCAGAAAAGCATAAACCGAGGGGACAAAATAGAACTAAGTGGGCTAAGCCCTCTTAAGCCCCCTATTGGCAACGGGCTTACTCATGCTGCAGCTACCAACTAGAGCATGTAGGGATTTAATTAGTAGAATCGGAATTAGCTTTTTTATTTAAAGATCTAGTTGATCAATATTGAATGCTCACCCAGTCAGGACAAACTCCTGCCACGTGTAAAGTAGCCGAGGTTAACCAACAGAGACAGAGATTCCTTGCTTTATAGTTGGAAGTAATTTGCAAAACACATATTGTGTTATTTTCCTTTTTAAGGAAAACCAAAGAGAAATTGTTCAGCATCAGTCTGCTGACCAAACCAAGGGGAAATCAGCTGCCGGAAAATCTCAGCCAACAGAGACATCTAAGAAAGGACAGGTTGGTATTTTTGTCACAAATAAAACAAGTGTGAATTGTTCTCAAACTGTGTGTATCCTTAAGGAAACTGCCCAAGCAAAAAAAGTGGGTTTTGAAGTTTCGACACAGGATATGTTGACTTTCTGTCCTGATGTCAATGGAAAGCTCCACCATTTTGCCAAACCATGTTAAGTGTTTTCCTTAGTCTTACTTCTATTGTGTTGTGAACATTTTATGTATACACTTATGTTGATCAATTGATTGTGAAAATGTAATGTACCATAGAAAAATGCCGTGTTCGGGGACCTTGGTCCAGCTTGCAGTGATGGAGTAGCAATCTGATTGGCTGATGCAGAGTGAAGTACACAAATTGTTGAGATGATTTTTAGTCTCCTGATTTTTAGAAAGCTGAAAAGGTGTCTGGGAAGAAAAGCAAAGTTCCTGTTCAGCTGGACATCGGAAACATGTTGGCCGCTTTGGAAAAGAAGCAATCTCAAAAAGTCAAGCAGGACGCCAAACCACTCGTTCTCTCAGGTGGGCATCTTGGACTATAATTCAATGGCTTTCTATTCCTCTTTTTTCTTTATCTCTTTGTTAAATACTATTTTAAGCATATGTTGTTTGATTACACTTGCATTCCTGGGACAATGCTGTTGGTGTAAGGCATTTCAAATAAAAATGATTTCTCTGTAGTTGGTGGAGGACTACCAGTTGTCCAGAAGCAACCATTAGTCCAGAAAAAGCCTCCCTGGCAGCAGGATAAAATTGCACACAATCCCCTGGATTCCACCAGCCCTTTGGTGAAGAAAGGAAAGCAGAGAGAGGTGCCAAAAGCTAAGAAACCCACTCCTCTTAAAAAGGTAAGTCAATCTCTGACTCTGGAACAAACACAGATATTTCAGCCTTTGTTTTGTCTCTTATATTTCTGTCTTATATTCAGGTCATTTTAAAAGAAAGAGAGGAGAGGAAACAAAAACGTTTGCTGGAGGAGAGAGGGCTGCTGCCGGAAAGTGAGTTAAAACCTACCAGTGATGCAGAAAAAGAAGAGCAGTGTGACACAAATGTACCAGGTCAGATCAAGCATTAGAAACAACACATAACATTACATTAGATATTTTATTACAGCTGATATTTGATGTATTTTGTGCTTCTGCAGGTGAGCTCCGGAGTCCGACACCTACAGAAGAACTTGAAGATCAGTCAGAGATGAACTGCACAAGCCAAATGGTGAAAGAGGGCGATGAAGAGGAGGACAAAGAGGAGGACAAAGAGGAGATTGTAGAGCAACAACCCATCTCACCTGTGCCCTGCCAACCCAGTCGACCCAAAATCCACAGCAGGAAGTTCAGAGAGTAAGACCGAAACCTGCACATCCAGTCACAAGTTGTAAACTATGTTTGTTCTCTGTCTAAAACATTTGATCTCACACAATTACTTAATGAATCACTGTTTGTCCCACATTTATTTTGTATATTTGTTGTACAGCTATTGCAACCAGATGCTGAGCAAAACCGTGGATGAGTGTGTAACGACTCTGCTGAAGGAGCTGGTTCGATTCCAGGACCGCCTTTACCAGAAGGACCCCATGAAGGCTCGCATGAAAAGACGCATTGTGATGGGGCTCAGAGAAGTCCTGAAGCACCTCAAACTCAGGAAGGTCAAGTGTGTCGTCATCTCACCCAACTGTGAACGCATCCAGTCCAAAGGCGGCCTGGACGAGGCTCTTTACACCATCATCGACACTTGTCGTGAACAAGGGGTGCCGTTTGTGTTTGCCCTCTCCAGGAAAGCTTTGGGTCGCTGCGTCAACAAGGCAGTGCCTGTCAGCCTGGTGGGCATCTTCAACTATGATGGTGCACAGGTGGGGTTTATATTCATGTTCTGCGTACTTATCACTTAAAAGAAAGATGTCCTTGAAATGAGCCTTAAAGCTGTTTTTAAAATAAGCATATAAAAAGTTGTTTTAACAAGCTGAAACTTTCTTACCCACAGGACTTCTATCATAAGATGATCGAGTTGTCGTCTGAGGCCAGGAAAGCCTATGAGACGATGGTGTCAAGCCTGGAGCAGACAGGCCAGGAAGAGGCAGAGGAGGCAGGGAGCAATGAGGAAGAGCTGCAGATCAGCAGCCCGGCTGAGGAGGCGGAGCCCAGTCCCGACCCCACACAGCCAGAGGAGCCGGAGTACAGTAAGTGTCTGCTGTGATGCCATCTTCATATGAATGGGTCTAACAAAGTAAAAATAAGTGAAAGCTTTAAAGGTCCCCTAAACAATTTTTCTAAAATGTATTAGAGGGCTCAGATATATACAAAACATGTCTCTGAAGTGTTTGGCTCGAAATACCAAACAGATCATGCATTGTAGCATCCCATAAAACCCTCTGTTTCAGCCCTGTTTCAAAAGTGCTGATTCTGTGTCTGTAGTTTTAAATGCAATTGAGCTGCTGCTGGCCACGCCCCTCTGAGAGATGATTGGTTAAAAAAACACAATGGTACTCTAGGAGGATATTCAGGTGATACGGTTGGCGGGTGTTACCTTGGTTGTTTTATTGGCCAATGGTTACACAAGCCAAAAAACAGTTGTGACATCACAAAGTGGAACGTTTCTATATAAATGGATTGGGACAAAAATAGAGAGAATATATTTTCCTGAAACTTTCAGAACCTCTTTACACAGAGGGGACACATATTTATTAGGGCTGTCAAGTTAACACGTTAATAACACAAACATTTTTTAACGCCACTAATTATTTTAACGTGCGATTAACGCATGTGTATTTGTCCTCGGCCCGCCCGTAGTTTCAGAGCCCAAAGGCTTGACGTTGTTGTTGTTAGTTGGATGGTGGGAGATTCTAGCGAGAGATATGGATACAAAAAAAGGTGTTTTAAACAGCAAGCCAAGCACACAGCTGATGCTGACAGCCCCGCTCCTGCCGCTCGATTGCGTCGGACCACGCTTGAAAGTTTGCCGGGGAGACGCCTGGACATCAACAGCAATGGGTGGCTACAGCTTAACATTGTGGAGGACGAGGGGCTGCGTTAGATCATTCGGATCGCATCCAACGTGTCGACTGCACATCACAGTCATTATTTTGACCCACAGTGTGAACTTCAGTCTCATGCTCTGGCTGAAGATGAAGACAGAGGAGCGGCATTTCGCCGACAACTGTAAACAGGCTTGTCTGTTTGAGCAACTACTCAGCAAAGTAGGGCTGCACGATTTGGGGAAATAATCTAATTGCGATTTTTCTGACAGCGATTGCGATTCGATTTGCGATATTTGTTTTTAAGCGACCCAATGGAAGTTTATTGTAAAATGCGGCCATGGCGGCTAGGAAGGTCGTATCAACGTGCTCCCGTCTTTAGCACCCCCGCAGCCCGAGCTACGAGTGAAAGAACTAAACTTACATGAAACTTCCGTTGGGTTGCTTTAAAGTCAAGCTTCAGTTTAAGATTCACCCTGTCATAGAAACACATGATGGAGCATTACTAACCTGACTCAGATGGTTGGTTTCACCAAAGCATCTAAAGCTCCATTGGAAGCCATTTGGAAAGGGCAGGCACTTTGAAAAGCACTTGGCAGGTGATTGGATCAATCTGTCTATCACCTTCTATCATGGGCCACTTCTGATTGGTTAACAATGGCTGGTACATGTGGAGCACAGCACTTCTGATTGGTGTGGATGACTGACACACAAGAAGAAACATTTATTTATTTAAAAAATAAAATCACAGGCTTTGCGATTTGATAATCGCATCATTTAAAATCGCGATTTCGATTTAAAATCGATTAATCGTTCAGCCCTAGTGCAAGGAAGTAGGGTTGGGAGAGAGTGAGAGGTTCCATGTTGTTGTGTTGAGAATATTCAGGAGAATATTTGTCATTGTTCAAATGATAATAAACAAACATTTGCATAAAGCATATTTGTCCACTCATATGTTGATAAGAGTATTAAAAACTTGAAAAATATTCCTCTCAGGTACATTTAGAACAGATCAAAAAATGTGCGATTAATTTGCGATTAAGCGCGATTAACTATGGACATCATGCAATTAATCATGATCAAATATTTTAATCGACTGACAGCCCTAATATTTATGTATAAAAGACATGAAAAAGTGGATTTTGCATAATAGATGACCTTTTAATACAATAACAGAATTCACTGCTGAAAGTCAAATAATCCTCTTTTTGTATTTCTCCTTCCAGTGAAAATTTGGAAGAAAATGTTGGAGAAGGATTGCAACCACACATTTCTGAACTTTGAAGAGCAGCTGAGCTCCATGCGCTTAGACAGTGAATGTACAGAAAACACTGAAGAAGATGAGAAGAGTTGACAGTGGCCAATCTCTCTGTGCCTAAACAAATAATGAACTTAATCGCGCTGATTATATGTTTGGAAGAAACTTGGATGGGATAATCCAACATGCAGAAAAGGATTAATGCAAGCTGCTCTGCTTCAGTGATTCAACCTTAGGATTTTGTCAGGAAGTTAATGATTTTGGTAAAGTTGCAAGGACTGTCTTTTCTTTTTGAAAAAGTAATATTTTAGTTTTGAGTTGAAGATAATCAGGCAAAGCCATGTATTTTAGAGTTTGTGGGTTAGAAACTGGAGAGGATTAATCACTGACTTTATAGGACCAAACCACTCATTTGAAGAAATCCCACAATATGAATTTTGAACCATGTGGTCTGTGATCAGAGTAGAGGACGAACAGGGGTTTATGTACCGTGTGTAGAAAATCAACCAGTTACACAGTACAAAGAAATGATCAGTGGTGACTTCTGCCCTGAAACCATTATGGTGCTTTTTGACCTCTTATCAATTCAGTTTAAAGTATATCCTGTCTGCCATTATTTGTCAGGGACATTAGAGTTAGAACAGAAAATGTAGGAATGGACAAGGAGAATTGCCAAACGCAAACTGAAATAGGGCTTAAATAAAGTCAAATAATATTTACAACTTGTGAAATGGGAGGAGGAAACTAAATACGATATTCAAGCTTTTGAATTCAAATATGATGTTTCTTGTTCGGAAAATATATTGAGAAACTCAATGCATCCACCCTGTACATGACACTGAAGTTGTCACCTTTTATAGTATACTGTTTTTGCTTTTAGTATAAAAACAACAGCATATTAAACCAATATACACTAACAATAGAGTGTGAGTCCTTACCCCAAGTGAAGGAGTTCAAGTATCTCGGGGTCTTGTTCTCGAGTGAGGGAACAATGGAGCGTGAGATGGGCCGGAGAATCGGAGCAGCGGGAGCGGTACTGCAGTCGCTTTACCGCACCGTTGTGACGAAAAGGGAGCTGAGCCAGAAGGCAAAGCTCTCTGTCTACCGGGCCATTTTCGTTCCTACCCTCACCTATGGTCATGAAGGATGGGTCATGACCGAAAGAACGAGATCGCGGATACAAGCGGCCGAGATGGGTTTTCTCCGCAGGGTGGCTGGTGTCTCCCTTAGGGATAAGGTGAGAAGTTCGGTCATCCGGGAGGGACTCGGAGTTGAACCGCTCCTCCTTCGCGTCGAAAGGAGCCAGTTGAGGTGGTTCGGGCACCTAGTCAGGATGCCACCTGGGCGCCTCCCTAGGGAGGTGTTCCAGGCACGTCCAGCTGGGAAGAGACCTAGGACCAGACCTAGGACCAGACCTAGGACCAGGTGGAGGGATTATATCTCTTCGCTGGCCTGGGAGCGCCTTGGGATCCCCCAGTCAGAGCTGGTTGATGTTGCCAGGGAAAAGAAAGTTTGGGGCTCTCTGCTGGATCTGCTACCCCCACGACCCGACCACGGATAAGCGAGAGAAGATGGATGGACACCATGATGGACACTAACAATACATTATAACAAATATGAAACTTAAAAAATGCCACATTTTTAGGTTTCAGATTTCCTTTGTGCACTGCATTGATGGGGAAATGTTAGATGTGGATTCAGTGTCGCACACAGTTGGAGTTGGGGAAGTTGGAGCGCTGAGTTTCTCACACAGTCACACTCATTATTATTTTTTCTTATTGTTTGTGTTGCCTCCTATTGATGAAATACGTGGAATCATCTATTTACCCATTTTCAAAATAATTACAAATGTTCCTGTACCTTTTTGCACAGATTTTTACAGGTTTACAAAGCGTCTAATTTATTTTCATTTCACAAGCTCAAAATCCTATTGATCTTAGATCATCCATCTTTGAGTCCTAAGTGCCCCTTCTTGAATGCAAATGCACTACATAGTAGAGCCTGTATTTTTTGTTTTTCACACGTTTGTAGAACTGCCTGTGATTAGGTGTGATTGGCAGCATATGATAATGTTAAGGAACATTACAAGCTGTTCATTTAATTAAAATGGTTGTTTTGTGAGTTATCTTTGAACCCACATAGTAAGGAATTATAAAATAGCCTAATGATACAACAGGAAGAATCACAAAGTGATAGGTGTCAATCACGCTTTGAAAAAGCAATAAATGGCAACATTTGACATTTTAAAACTAATTAGTTCAATTTCAGAGGACTTGGATGAACACTACAGAAGAGAATACTTACATTGTGACTTATGAATATTGAGAAATAATTAATATGTTTAAATTGTGAAAAGAATATGTAATGTCAACTTGTTTCTAAAATGTCTTAAACAATTTGCAGGGAACAGCAGAAAGACTTTCCTTAGGAAGTTGCCTCAACATTTTTGAGTGAATCTTAGACTACAGCCACCAGCTGCTCAGATCAAGCATCATGGGAGTGAGCACAGCCTTTAAAGCTTCATAACTAACACATAATGTCTTTATTTGCTTTGTCATTGCAAACTGTCGTGTAAAGAAGAACATGAACCGGTTTATGGTTTTGTGAGCTATGACTATTTCTTGGCTCTAAAGAATTACAAATGAAAGAAAAGTTAAATAGCCCTAGGGAAAAGACTACCTGTAAAGTGGCAAAGTTCTGTGGTGGTGAGAGACCAAACTGTGATTCAATGGGAATGTAAAACTGCATGAAGATTTTAACCAATTCCAGTAGGATGAAAACTAAAGTATACATCCTCAAGGAAAGGGTGGGTATGGAAAACATTTCCTGTGAGTATCAAGATGCAAGCAATATTTGTTTTCTTTTATAGATTTGTCAGTCACATGTAAAATAGGAAATACAAATTCAGGTTATAGTTGATACATTTTAATTCAAGCTGAATAACAATGTACGGTGTCAATTGAATTGAATAAATGCAGTGTTTACTAAAAGTTAGTGGGCGTCATTAATAAACATGAGTGAGAAGTGGACCGAGTACGCTTTCCTAAGGAATCCCCAAACTCAGAGTCTTCTAAAAGTTTAAAATGAAAAAGATATAGAACATTATTTTGATATGTTTTGATATTTTAATGATATGTCATGTGTAAGAGTAAATAGTTAAACTCTTGACTTAAATAAAGAATCTTGGAAATGTTGAATTATAGAAGAAAGTGTTTATTTGGGGAAAAGAGGTAAAACATCTTATGACAGAGCTGGAAAAAAGTAGATGGAAAATAAACAAGTAGAAAACAAAATGCATGCACTCTTCTTTTGTCCTTAAACTGATGCAATCCAGGGCTTACACTGCACTCTGCGCTTAAAAAAGTGCAACAATAAACAAACCTTTCAAATGCACTCTGCTATCTTTGTTACTTTAAAAACAGATTCATAAAAATTAGGGCCGGGACTCGATTAAAAAAATTAATCTAATTAATTAGAGGCTTTGTAATTAATTAATCGAAATTAATCGCATTTTTAATCACATATAAATATTTGACCTGAGAACAGTGAGAAGCAATTTTTTTCACATGGATTTTAGTATACCATTAGGCGCATTCACACCGCAGTACTTTTCCCACAAAGGTTCATGAGAATTTAGTTCATGAGAACTCTTTGAACCTGGGGGTGGATTAGGCAAATGAAGCCGCTGACGTCACTTCTTCTGCTTTGGGTTTACTGGCAGGCCGCAAACCATTTCACGGCGTATACTGCCACCCAAAGTCCCCGGAGTTGGGGACTGGCTTCAGTAGAAGCTGCTGGGAGTCCCAGCAGCCTTCCGAGTAAATCGCCAGAACGCCGACACCTCCTCATCTCCACCGCTCCCATGTTTTATTTTGTGTTGCCATAAGTTAGTCTCTCTGCGTTTCTGCGCTGGGCTAATGCTAATAATGCTAATGCGAGGAGAATCAAATGGCGGCTTCACAAAACTTTTTGGGAGTTTTACGGGGCGTGGTTTGCAATCCGCCCAGCCAATCAGAAATATAGCTCTTTTCTCACAAGAGAGCCGTACGAAAGTCCCTGCTCTCTAGCAGCTCTCTGCTCTCTAGCAGGGACTTTCGTGGGGGTAAAAAGGTTCTCATGAACTAATTTTAGTACCGGTTCTTTTTGGTGTGAACGCGATAAAAGAGGCTAACGTCCACGCTAGCTGCTATATGTTTTTGCATTGAGGTGATACTTGAGGCTTGATGTGCTGCGGTGATATGCGAATTCCTTTTTGCATAATTTGCACACAACCGTGCTCTTATCGACGCTTCCATCCGTCCGTCCGTTTTTTAAAACAACATTTCCCACTGTTGTTCTTCACTGTGGTTTGTTGTTGTCTGAAGTCATGAACGTTAGTTGGTGCTCCAGTATAATCGGTACGCCTGAAACTCATCCAGTGAGAAACGTTCCGCGGTGCAAAAATAAGTGCGATTAAAATGCGTTAATTTTTTTAACGCGTTAATTTTTGTGTAATTAATTCATCTTAATTAACGCGTTAAAGTCCCGGCCCTAATACAAATATATCACCCGTGTCAAGACATTGGAATACTCTATCCTTACATGGATATAAAAACAAATCTATATTATTTAAAAAGTAATATAAAGTCAACTTAATGTTTGAGCTATTTTAAAGTCCTCATTTAAATACATTTCATATTAAGGAAATAAATATAACATCAGTGATTATGTGTTACAATGGCGTTAGCAACCAGAAAATGACACCGGTAATGACAAACAGATGAAAATGCTGCTTGGGGTCTGGGTGCCGTGTTAGCGGGACGTTGCGGGGCTCGCTGCTGCGAGGAGCAGACAGTGAGAAAAAATAACCGGAAAAGCATGACATGGGACCTTTAAGCTAATTATCTAGGGATACATGTCAAACATTTCACAACAATACATTTAGATTGTCAACCTCATGGTAGAGGAAGTTCATCCATGGAGATCATTAATGTCTGTCCTAAATGACATGCAAATCCTCCCTTGTTTGTCAATACATGTTACTCGGCGGTAGTAAGTAGAGGAACAATCAGATTCACTGAGGATGGAAAACATGCATGTCTGAGGACGATTTTGATCTCAAGCTTTTTCAATGTATAAGTAAATAGTTTGAATCATTGGAAGCAGGAGAGAAGTCAATGTCATTAGAGTATATCATTAAAAAAAATCTGTAACACACTTTACAGTAATCTATCCCATGGTTGTTACATTTTCACTCTAACACTAAAATGTCAATATCATGGATGTTGTAAAAAGGAAAAGGTCGGTTTATCTTCTGTTGAACATGAATGTCTGTTCCAAATTCCAATGCAATCCAGACAATAATTATGACAACAAATATAGAATATTTGCAGCCTTTTTCTTTAACTCTCAACAATAAATCAGGACATATTACTTTTATATTTGTACACTGAATATAAAACAAAAACTTTACATCAAAGGTGGTGCAGGGATTGTATCTACATATCCACTATCGCTGAGTTCTGTGCATACATGAGGTTTTCTTGGCTTGTGAAGGGCACAGTCTGTGTAGTGGTTTCCCTCGTCTTTACAGGACAGGTCAGCTGCATTCTGTTTCTGCAGGACGACCAAATGATCACTCTCCACCTCTTTCACCCTGCTGTAGTCCTCTGGTATTCCCTCTTGTCTCTGAAAGTGTATGTAGCCAGAGCTCTGGACCTTTTCTTTCTCGAGGAAAATAATATTGTCACTTTTCACCTCTTTAACTCTGCTGTAGTCCACATGCTTCACATCAACGTTTTCCACATTTCTCTGAAAATCCACATAACCTGTGTTCGTGAATGGTTTGTTGTTGTTATCCACTTGGCTAATTTCCTCATCCTTTTCCCAGTCATTTTGGTGGCAGGGTGACTCTTTAGAATGGATTTCCGAATCGAAGTGGAAGCAAGCAGGAATCAAGCTTTTCTTCCTTTTCTGAGAGTTGGACGAAAGCCAATCTTCATTTTCAGTCACAATTAGGTAATCCTCCATCTGGTCCTCCCAGACAAAATAAATAGGAGGAAAGCTCTGTTTGATGATCAGGACATTGCCGACGTCGTCAGATCCCCCACTCTGGAAGTTATTTAGAGTAATTTCAGTACATTATGACCTCAACAAAATCCCCAAAAGTGGGAAATCATGATTCAGTGTTACCTGGAGAAGTTGAGAATTGATTCCTCTTATCTTTGGACCAGGAACAGGGGGGAGAACCCACTGCTTTACCCTGGGGAACAAAGGGGAGTCAGTCAAAGTATCCTCATCTTGACTTTCTATTAAGAGTTATACATATTTTTTGCCAGAGATACATACGATTTCCTCTTCGCAATTAAAATCAACCCTGCCATTATGAATAGGATGGCAGAGAGGATAGAAATCAACATCGACAACGGTCTCTCATTCTGAAGATCTAAGTACAACAGGACAAAATAAAAAACATTTTCAGTAATTAGTCATGCTTGCAACAGTGGCTGCCTCACCAAAGAGCTTCTGAGACTTACAGTTGGAGATTTTCACAAAGGTGGTGTTGCTCCACTCGCTCCAGGAGCCGTGATCTAGTAAGCAGCGGACCTGCACTGTGTACACCCCCCCAGGACTGACGCTGTACAGGCTGAAGTGAGTTTGCGTGCCTGACGTGTACTCCTAGAGAAATACAGAAGACAAAAATCACCACGTTGACCTCATACCCAGATTAAGGTTAGATGTTGGTCAAATGGTAGTTGCAAACAAAAATGGCTAAAAGTATTGCAATATTATAAAACAATATTTATCAACTATAGCTTGTTTTTACTTTGTGTGTAGATGATCTTAAAAACTGCACAGATAATGAAAACTACCCTCGTTTTTGTTAGTTAGGAATCAAATGATTTTGTGATTCCTAACCAACAAAAACGAGGGTAGGGAGAAATAAAAGAAAGACATTTTTTTTTTTCAAAAGGAGTAAAAATAAGGTGAAACACTTTATTTGTATAGTTTTGTTTTTCTTTCATTTAATGTCCTTATGTTATTCAATTGTTCTAATGGGCATTCTTTTTTAGAAAGGTATCATAATGACTCCAATTAATTATTACTGCTGCAATACATTTATTTTAACTGAATTACAGTAGGATGATTAAAATATGCTGAATGAAACGGAAACAGAGTCTGTAGAATAGAATTGGATCAAAGTTGAAACTCCTGTTGACAGTCCTAGAGGAGACTGTTATTGCCCTCTACTGGATTGACCAAACGACTGTTTAACAGTGTACCTGATTTCAAGAGAAGTTATAGATAATTACAATTTTCACCAGTTTGGTCAGACAACTTTGGGTCCCAACAGGGGCGGATCTACGGGGGGGCAAGGGGGGGCAGTTGCCCCCCCCCCCCACTGTAGAGCCTTGCCCCCCCAGCTGCCCCCCTAACTTGTGTTTCCCTAAAACTGTACTAAAACAAACCTACACTATTTCCACAAGCTTCTCAAGCAACAAAACAAGCATTACATTAGTTAAAAGTGAATCATTTAAAATATAATTTTAGGCCCGTTAAAAACGCAGCTACGGCCCTGCATTAAACTGCGGAGCGGCGTTCACACAGACCGCGGCTCACACCGCTGCAGAGAGGGAGCGAGCTGTCCCAGCACCTATGGATCAGCTTCCCCTGGGAGCATTTCCCTTTCCACTAGTTTTGTTTTTACTAAGGACGAGAGCTTGAAACTAAATATTAATAAAACGCTGTCGTTTGAATCGATAGCGTTTAACAGACGGGCGCTGTTTGGGACGTTACGTTACAAAATACTACGCAGACAGCGTTAGCTGGGAGATCGATCACTTTGCTAAACTACGCGGTAGCCTACTATTAAATCCACGTAAACTACACATCACAGCCATGAGGCCAGATCAATGAAACCAGGATACATCCTTTACTGTAAAAACTGGATCCAAACACAGCTGCCTGTGTGCGCTTGATCAATACTTTCTGATGTTATATGATATGCTACATATTAGCTAGGCTACATGGCCCTAACACGTAGAGTTATACAAGCATTTGTACCAGTGCTTTTCACAAGTAGACTCTTGCAGGCCAGAGTATAGGAGTGATTCAACAACAACACAAAGACATATGAGAAGTGATCAGGACGAACAGAAAGAGGAAAAGGAAAAGAGAGTTCACTGAAGAGACCAGGAGGGTCAGAGCAGGAGGAAGAGGAGGAGATGAAGAGACCAGGAGGGTCAGAGCAGGAGGAGGAGATGAAGACATTAGTGAAGAAGAAGAAATGTATGTGAGGAATAAAGATGAAGTATCAGAAAGAGGGACAGAGGCAGGGATCAGGAGGCAGATGAAACTCCAGCTGGACCACATGGTATGTTCTTATTCTCCTTACATATTCCATTACAGCAGCACAATCTAGCAGCTCTTAGTATTGACAAATATTGATTGAAATGTGTTGCTGCACAGGTCACCTTCTGCTCTCTGAAGAGATGGGTGATGTCATTTGTGTACTTAATTATAAATTGAAATGTTGAGCTTGTCAATCTTAATCTGAAAATACAAAAACTGAAATATAGGTAAGAGAAGAAACTGACACTTTTGTGATGTAATTCCCTCAATGCAGATCACACATGGACTGATCCATTATTTTAATAGGAGGGTAAATGGTATGGCGTGACGGGGTTGAAACAAACTGAGGGACAATATTGCAATTTCATAGATAATTCAAGTATTTTTTCAGAATTTCTTTTTGATCAGTTAAAGTTGACAAGCATATGATTATATTAGCAGCAACATTTTGGGATAATTGGCCATTTTGATTGGTTTGATATTAAATTAATATGTAATAATGCTTAGTGAGGACATGCAAATATGTCTGTCTAATACTAAGAAAACCAATTTTTTAAAAACAAAATATATATTTAGTTTTACATTGTAATGCAAAAAAACCTGTTCCATTAATTCATTGCTTTAAAATACATTTTGTAGTTTCCTTTCATTTCAAATGGTTGAGGTAAGCTTGGGGGACTCAAAGGGCACCCGATTGTTTGTCTGAACACCTTGTTTCTCTTGTGCATTAAGAACACTTGTGTTAGGGCATGAATTAACAATAAATAGGTTATACACAGTATAAAATACCACGTACTGTCCGCCCTCCCATGCCACCCTGGCATGACCTCTTGCCCCCCCCTTTGCCCCCCCATGTAAAATGTTCTAGAACCGCCACTGGGTCCCAAATGCCCCAAACATTTTTATTCCAACTCTGTACTTTTCCAGTTTTTTCTACCAGCCAGTTCCTTGTTTTAATTTGTGTTAATCATGTTTCTTAAAGGAAAATGAAGTGAAAGAGGCACATTTAGGCTTGATCTACATTGGCTTCCAGTCGACCAAAGAATTGATTTTAAAGTACTATTGCTAGTTTTTAAATCATTACATGGTTTAGGACCAAAGTATATTGTTGATCTCCTACATAATTACGAGCCATCAAGGTGCCTCAGGTCTTCTGGGACGGGTCTGCTATCGGCTCCGAGAGTAAAAACAAAACATGGAGAGGCAGCATTTAGCTGTTATGCCCCGACACTCTGGAACAAACTACCCAAATCATGCACGTCCGCAGAAACGCTTACTATTTTTAAATCGAGACTAAAAACATATCTCTTTGCCGCTGCTTTTAATTGAGATGCTCATATTCGAACTACAGTATGCCTTTTAAACATGTATTGTTTACCTGTGGTGTTTATTTTTATTATTTTATTATCTTTGCTTTGTAATGTCTGTTGTAAAATTGTATAATGTGTTTTTAATGTATTTATTTGTTTTGTAAAGCACTTTGAATTGTCGTGTACAGAAAAGTGCTATATAAATAAACTTGCCTTGCCTTGCCTGTTTCACACTTCACTTTGCAAATGATGACTTGGATACAGTCAGTCACATTAATATATATTGTATATATATATATGTATGTACACATATATTTATATAGTTTGTCCACTGATTATAATTGCAAAACAAAAGGGCGTATTACTGTTCATACAAACATATAGTAAGTGATGAAGAAGAAAGTAGTGCTGAAACTAATCTGCATATAATTTTTCTGTGTTTTTATTTTTGTCAAACCCTTAGTCCAAAAGTGAAAGATATTCAGTTGGCTATCATATAGGACTAAGCAAATGATCACCATTGAGAAGCAGGTACCTTTGTACTTAATCAATTCATCAGCTTATGGTTTCAGCTCTAAAACAAACCTCTAAAAGAATCTGAAAACATTTATAACAGATTTTAAATCATGGATTGTCTAGTTTCGGCCCTCGTAGTGAAACACTGTCCTGCACAACAAACATACTGTGAAGCATCCCATGAGTCCACATTTAGTTTTGGGAACTCAAAAGGGTAACACAACTGTAATACTACTTGATGCCACTGTGAAGGATGTGTTTGTGTGAAAATTATTTTGTAGGAATTCAGTTTTTACAATTTCAAACCCACCTTCCAGTTGTTGCTGTTATCTTTTTTGACCCTTAGTTCATATTTAATAGTGACCCAACCGGACTTGGTGTCTGTGTTAGAGGGAGGCATCCATCTGACGTGGAGACATGGACTGGCCTCTCTCTCTTCCACCCGCAGCGTTACATTTCCAGGAGCATCGGGCTTCACTGTCGAGACAAAACAACAGTCTGAGCCCAGAGTCATACAAGAAATGCTGTGCGCTAAATTATTAAGCCAACATGCTAATATATTCAAAACAACAATACAAAAATTACTATAATTAAAATAGATCCTGTCAGTCATTGTAAAGAGAAAACATCCCCGAAATAATTAAAAACAATATAACCAACGTATTGGACAAATACAACTGTTACCTGTTACCTGACGAGAATTTGAGTGATCACAAAATAAGATCAGCATTCCTCCTGAGAGGGACATTTTGTGTGTACCAAGTTTTATCAATCCATCCAATATTTGTTGAAATATTTCAGTGGACAAGTGGAAACTGACATATAGCAGTGGGGCTATAGAAAGGTACATTTCATGTCAATCCATACAATAGTTGTCGAGGTATTTCTGTAAGTTAAGATCCCTCAGACAAAATCTAATTAAGTTGATTCATTATTTTCCTGCATGCAATGTGTTCCTGCTCCACATGTACAGTAGTAAGGAGACCACATTCAAACACCAAACTAAAGCTGTGAAATCTGATCCTGGACTGTACACAAGTTTCACACCAGTCCCAAACCAGTTCCTCCTCATTCTGTTCAGGCTTTCTTCTGTGCCTCTTTTCCGTCTGTCAGTCATTTTCCATTCTTCTAAACTCAATAAGGCTGCACAGCCAATAAAACTGATTAGCTGAATTAATACAGATCATGTTCTGCTGCTTGCTGTCTTCTACTCTAAGGAATACACAGATCGAGGGGCTGTCAATAGGTCAAAGGGTATCGCTTCAAGTGTGACACAAAAACACCAGTGAGCAAGGAAGATATTCTATAAATATTCTGGATTATAAATAATTCAATACTCTAATATAATTGAATGAGTAATTAAACATGTTTTAACTTCATTTGATTTAATCAGTGGCAGAAAACCTCAACTATTTCCTTTGTGATTCGTTGTTATCAAGCAACAGACCATAAAGGAATGTGACCATTGATAAAGACATTATAGTAAAAGTAGTTCAGTGAAGAGCCAAATCCACTGGAATTATATTCCACATATTTGTCCAAGGTCCAGAAATAACACTATAAGGATCAGATTTTCAAAACAAATTAATTCTTCATTAGTTACTGTGTTTGTCTACATTTTGGTTTTCCTGCTTGGTATCATTGTCTTTACTTAAATATAAGGATGATGTTCATATCTTTATTTGTACTTATTTTTGGTAGAAACATACCGATTTCCATCACATCCATCTTGAAGGGGTCTGAAGTGGCATTCCCGAGGGCATTGGAGGCCATTACAGTCAGGTAGTAGTCGACCCAGATGGAGGTGTGGTTCTTGTCAAAGAAGCAGGAGTTCCTGCCAGCTGACAGATAGTCCGGACACTCGTACGTCCCCTCCAATCTGTACGTAGACAAATAAGACCTTCAGTGAGCAGTGAACACTGCTCAGGGCATTCTGCTGACAGGACAGCAAGTCAGCATCGTAAAACTGTGCTGTGGGCAGTAAATACATGTTGACATTCAATAAACAAGTACAAGGCTGGACTTGATGTCTACACAGTCTGTTCATAACCACTACAACATCATCCTTAATGTCAGACTTTTTGTCACTAAAAACAATGCCATGTATTGTGGCCTTTTTTAAGATTGGAATTAGGCAAATATACATGCTAACATCAATTAACTAACATGCTGATGACAAGCACTAAACACAAGCTACAGCTGAGGGTGAGTATTGAAGTTATTCGGGCATTAACCGAAGTATTGGTTAACATCAATGGCATTGGGGATCCCTAGTAAGGATTCATCCTCAGGGGACCTTGACTGTTTGTATAACGTTTTATGGCAATCCTTACAGTAGTTGTCGAGATATTTCGAACCAAACTAGTGGACATAAAAATTGATGCTGCCAACATTTGCAAAATGTTTAACCAGCAGCTTTTTTACATTTTCTCAGGCCAGGACGAGTGAGGGTCACACAGGTGAAACGTTTTGGAGTCTACTTGCACAGCAACAAAGATTCGTGCCCAGCTGACCGAGCACTACTGTGTCCGCAAGAGAGCCGGTAGTTTTCCACTCGCCTGTCTCCAACAGTACAACTCAACAACAGAAGCTTCACTTTCACTGGTGTGGGTGATAAACTCCTTGGTCTTTATGGGACTTCTTGGGGTCAAAACATACCGTGAGTACTGGTTTGATGTTTTGTTTTGGGTCATTCACCTCGATCTCACCTTTCCTACAACTTTTACTGTGACCTGTTGAATCCATGCACAATTCTCAAATTCCAAGTACATTCAAAACAAAGCTAATTGGACTGACCTTTCTCTCTCGTAATACAGGTGGTGGGTGGTGGGCAGCCCCCCATCAGAGCCTGGCTCCCACCAGCAGGTGAACGTCTCCTTCTCTGGGGACCTGCAGCTGAGCAGGACCGGTTTCCCTGGTGCAGACATGCCTTTCAACACATGAGACAAACAAACCTCAGCGCGTAAATCAAAACTCAGTAGCAGTAATATATGAAACAACAGAAACGTATTTAAAACGACAAGTTAATGGGCTGTTTTGAACCTTTGTTTAATGAAACTGGACACGTTTTTGAAATATGTGTATCTAAGATTTCTTCATCCAACCAACAACCCTGGAAGATTGGATTTGTTTCGACACAGTATTGAATAAGTTGTTCTTGTTCTCTTGTGACATCTATTTTAATGCATTTTGCCGGCATGGTGGATAATCTAGAGAAGACACTGTGAGCAGCATCCAGTTTATTAACATAGTTTGGTTTAATTTATTTTATAGAATACAATTATCTTAGGTACTTTTCTTTCAGCAGTAATGGAACAATTTGTAATGCTGTGGGCACTGAAAAAATATCAGAGGTAGATCTCCAAACTTATACAAATAAATCCAAAATCTGTTTGTCTAGTTCAGTGGTTCCCAAACGGTGTGCCGCGGCACACTGGTGTGCCGTGAGGCAAGTCCGGGTGTGCAGTGGGATTTTGTGACAACCATACGTTATTATTGCAATATACAACTACACAAAAATAATAATTTTTAATTTACTATATCAGTACTTTGTAGGTTTATATGTACGTAATCTGCGCGTCCACATCTCCAAGTGCAGTGCTGCATAAACATGGCTGAGTCAGCAATAACTTTCCATGGGTGGAGGCAGGGCCGTTTCTAGCTTTTTGGGGGCCCTATGCAAGATGCTGTTTGGGGGCCCTAGTTTTGATAGTTTTTTAACTTCAATGGCGGGGATTCCGAAGCCTTTAAGATGATCTGTGGAGATGCATCAATCTGTTACACTTTAATAGGAAAACAGGCTAATTTCACGAAAACCAAGCAATTGAAAATGACAAAAAAAATTATATTAAAAAGGTAAAAAATAAGGTTCCTCTATGTCAATAAATGCAAGAGATGCAGCATTTTCTCAGCTGTCAGCCCAACGATGATTTGGACTTTTTTACCCCAAAAACCCAAGCCACAGCTTTGCTATCATTGCAGTTTAGTCGTGTTTATATCCTACATTGGATTTGTAAGCATATAATCAGGGCTGCACATAACTGGTGCGCAGGTGCGCATGCGCACCTCCGCCAAAAAAAGAGCACCGGGTCATTTGAAACAAAGCGCATTTGCGTACCAACATTGAGAGAGGGAGAGAGAGAGAGAGAGAAGGGAGAAGAGAAAATAGAAAATAGAGGAGAGAGAGAGAAGAGAGAGAGAGAAAGAAGGATATTTGCGAGTTGCATATGAACCATGATATGAACTCAGGGCCGGCCCGTAGCACTGGCTAGATGTTCGCCTAGGGCGCCAGATCTGGGGAGTCGCTGCGCTGGCAGTTCTGGGAGGGAAAAAAACATTTTGACCGTTGGGGCTCATCCTAATTTTCGGCCTTGATGTAACAATATTCATAATTAAGTAAATGTAACACCCTTTTCACCCCGATTACACGTTTCATTTGCCCTGTACGATGGGCGCTGTAAGTGATGAAAATGGGGGATGTTGGTTTATCTGGCGCCCGCAGCTCACAGCCAAAATGCGAGGGAGAGAGGGAGGGTGCACCGGTACCAGCGCTGTTGTTATTAGAATCTGGTGCCGTGCTAGCTGCTCTAACGGATATAAGAAGAAGATGTTTCTACAATAATGTGGAGGGAGAGTCCTCTCCAGTCAGACTGAGAGGCTGATACTACAGCTCAGTGAGGTAAGGACTCTTAGTCTAAGTTCAAACGGTTTGGTCACAATTTATGTAAACACATATTTCCAAGGCACTCCTTTATAATTATTGGGATAAACAGGTTTCAAATCATTCCAATGTATAAGACAGTAACCAAAAATATCCTTTAAAACTGGAGAGATAAAAAAAATGCATAAATAAATAAATGTTAAGGTAAAATAAGATATGAATGAACAACACAAATAAAATAAGTTACATTCATTTGTTATTGGCTATAGGTGGTTATGTTCACATACTTATTTGATTACATCCACTTGTCTAAGATGACAACAGCAAGCAGCTAATCACAGACTCAACCAGAGAGAAAGTAGTAGGCCTACATCATTAGCTACCATGTCTGACAGAGAGGAACAGTCAGGAGGGTAGTGATGACAGCTTGTAGGATTACTGGTCGTGCTAATGTTGTCTTGTGTTCACCTCTGCATGTGTGTTCTGTGTTCACCTTTGCACGTGTGTTCAGTGCCGTGTGTCTGGCAAATAAAGTCAAGACCCCCTCAAAAGTTACGGTTTATTTCATTTTAAGGATGAGCACCAAGAAACATCTCCAGGTGCTCCTTTGAGAACCAGGGCAAAAAAGTTATGTGCATCCCTGCATATAATGCTTCACCGAACACTCACAGGAGGGGGCTTGGCTGTCTACAAATAAAGACGGCTCATTTTAATTCTCCCCAAATATATTGAGGCTGAACCTGAACTTTGAATTCTCTGCTCCCATCATAATCTTGGCGATCTTGTTAAAATTGTGGATGCAGAATTAAAAATACTATGTAACTGGTTTGCAGTTAATAAATGATCCCTTAATGTGTCCAAAACAAATTACATGTTATTCAATACAAAGTCTGAGAGTAGAAATGACTACATTATACGGATTTGCAATACAGAGATAGAAAAAGTTGGTGCATGTACATTTTTAGGACTGCTTGTTGACGAAAAACTCAATTGGAAGCACTATATACATTATGTACAGACTAAACTGTCAAAAACAATAGGTATTTTGTATCGCACTAAGAACATTCTTGAAGAAAATATACTCTTTATAACAGTCTATTTTTCCCTTACCTTTGATACTGCTCCGAAATATGGGGAAACACGTACCCAACAAATCTACAAAAAATAATAACATCCCAAAAAAAAGTATTACGAATAGTCTGTGGTGTTGGTAAATATGAACACACAACTCCCATATTTAAAAAAACTCAATCTATTAAAATGTGTTGAGAAAGTACAGCTTAAAACAGTACTGATTATGCACAACATTTTCCATAAGAAAATGCCTAATAACATTCAAAAGCAGTTCCAAACCACAGCGTGAACATATGAATGTAAAAAAAGTCACTTGAAAATAAATGTTCACAATGTTTATATGCAATTGTGCATATATTATTATTATTATTATTATTCATTTGCCAAGTGCATGTGTACCTATGTATATATAGTATTTTTATTTCCAAAAAAAGATAGTTGAAACTGCTATTGACATGTGCAGAAAATGACCCTATATCTAGTTTTCGTATATATATATGCATTTATTGTTTTCCTGCCCTAACTTTTATTTAATTTGTTCTCCTGTTTTCTTTATTTCTTTGTTCTCCTTCATTTCTATATGTTGTTGACGCAATAATGCCGCTGTATTAGGATGATGCACGGGAGGGCTACTTTCCACAAGCTATGCTTCAGCCCTCCCGCTTCTACTAATTTTGTTAATCTTTGTGTGTATGAATTAAACCTTTTTTGTTTTTCGGATGAATAAAAAATAAATAAAAAATACTTTCAGCTTGGGGGCCCCCTAGTGGCCGCGGGGGCCCTATGCCCCCGCATAGTCCGCATATAGGAAGAAACGGCCCTGGGTGGAGGTATGCCCATTATTTTGAGTTCGTCCGAAGAATAGACACGAATGTGAGGGTGAGGTGCAAACTGTGTCCAGGCCAGAAGCTGTTATCCACTGCTGTAAATACCACGTCAAACGTAGTGTAGTGTAATATATTATTTTATTTAAGTAATATGTAATATATTACATTTTTTTAGTAACGACCCCATCTTGATTGATTGATTGAAAAGTTTATTAACAGCTTGTATATTGGGTACTGTACAGTACAGCTCAAAACATACAATTGTTAAGGGGATGCAGACCAGAGAAAGACTTTCGTCTTGTTTACATCAGGGTCCCCCATTTCCAATTCATCATGTCATTTAAGACATATAAGACATACAGATGGCTTATTTACAATTTACATACAGGTGGTTTTTTACATACAGATTGCTTATTTACAATTTTCATTTTAGATTTCGTTCTAATACATCCTAACCGGACATTTAAGACATACCAAGTCTACAGATATACAGTTAGTAACAGAGTCTAAAATGCGAGTATATACATAGATGGGGGGGGGGGGAAGCTGTCCATTGAACGACAGGTTGAGATTTGTACCATTACCGGGGCCAGTTTTGCAATGCTCTCCCCCTGAAGGTGCTCTTTAAGAGAGGTTTTGAAGGTAAGTATAGTTTTACTTTCCTTTACAGTTGTGGGAAGAGCGTTCCACCTTGATGTGGCATAATTGCGAAACGTGTATTCCCCCTTTTTTGTGCCAAATCTGGGTTTCACATGATTTGTGGAGCTCCCTCTGGTGTTATGATCATGGTATTCCTTGACCTTTGGGAAGAATTTTGACATGTACATGGGTACCATAGAGGTGTAGTGGATCTTGTAGACCAGGCCCATTGCAAGTAGCTGTACTCTGTCGTCTACTCTAAGCCATCCTAGGTTGTCAAAGTGGGCAGAGGTGAGGTGGGTTCTAGATGAAAGGTCAAGCAGTAGTCTGACCAGTTTATTTTGCGATGTTTGAAGTTTTATTTTTAGCGCCTTGGAGGTGCTATGGTACCATGACGTGCAAGCATAGTCATAGTACCCTTGAATGAGTGCTCCTGCCAGAGTTTTCAGGGTGTTTTTGTTGACCAGAGAGGAGATCCGGTATAGGAATCTAGTTCTTTGATTGACTTTTTTTTTTGGAGTTGGCGTTCTCTACTCTGATTTACATGAAGAACAACAGGAGGTCACGGCTCTCTGTTGAACAGGACTTGCGAGTGGCCCTCTCCTCAGTGCCACCAAGGATTAAAAAATTCTGTGCGCCCCGACAGGCACATGTATCTCACTAATTTGTAAGTCGGCAAAAATATTTACAATAGCACATGTTTCAATGCTGATTGCTGAAATGTTACATTTATAATTTGTAGTTCAGGACCATGGACAATGCAGCTTCCTTGCATTGACAGTTCTCTGTGCTGAATTTCTGCTGAGTTTCCTTTGCCTCATTTTTAATTGTGTGACCTGTCTGGTTTAAAGGAGTGTGTTGCTGCTTTGATGAAGCCTAATTTGATAAAGTTTCAAATTAATTTCTGAAATATTTCGTTAATAAATATTTCACGAGTAATATAGTTGTCTTTGTCACATTTTATTTGGCATTAGTAAATAATTATGCACATTTACAGATATTTTACATGATATGAGTGATAACACGTGTTATAAGGGCTATTTTGCACAATAGGTGTGCCTTGAGATTTTTACTTGTCCTTTGGTGTGCCTTGGGCACAAAAAGTTTGGGAACCACTGGTCTAGTTAGATATATATATTAGTGGAGGAAAGTATTTTTATTTATTCTTTTGTAAACAGACCCACAACTAACAAAACAACTAACCAAACAACTCACCAAACAACTAACCAAAACAACTAACTAAAGAGCCTTTCCACTTACTGCTGGACTGCACAGCTGCAGTCAGCAGCAGGAGCAGTGCCCCCCGAAGATCTCTCCTCATCCTGGCACAAACCGTCACACTGCTTGGTCCGAAACAGGAAGTGACATTACCAACAAGCGGTTAATGATGCGATATAAACCCGTGGGTTGGCTGCGTGCCTTGTTTTTACCTAAAACAAGGAGATATAAAGGGAAAACAACGAGGAGAAGCAATAATTGTTTGTACATGTTGTAGCCAATACATAAAGGCCCTCACCAGATGCAATCGTAACATGATATACTATGAAGAAATATGTGAGAATCAACAGGACAGTATAATTTCATCAACTCTTTCATCGAGGGGATCTGCAACATTACCCAAAAAAAGCTTATAGAGTTGTGAAGGCGAGACTGGTTTCAAATATCGGTTTACCAGAATTAACTCTAAATAGGATTCAACTATAACCTGGTGGTATTGTGTTAAATTAGTCAAACAAAACATAAATGTTCAGTTTATATATAATACGCAGAAATATAATTTACAACTATTTCACAACTTACATTTTTTGTTTGTTTAGCTCATCTCACTCACTGGTGTAAAAGTGAACATTGGAAATAGCTGCAATGGAATTTAGACCAATTTTATGCACTTCCCTATTTCATAAAGCTCAAACGCATACATACACACACACACACACACACACACACGCACACACACACACACACACACACACACACACACACACACACACACACACACACACACACACACAAATGCACACACGCACACACACAGACAGGCATATGTGACAGCCCACTTCCTGCTGTTTATGGCAGATTTATGCTCCCTGGATCAGACTGCCTGATCTTTTTAACACTGAACTGCTTGATGCAATATTCACCTGAAAAGGTGTGGGAACGCTTCGTCCAGCATGTCATTTACAGGATGCCACAATGGTAGGAGGTTACACCTGTGTAATTATGTTTTTCTTGTTTTTTATACAATAACCTCAGTGAAAATTAGTTTCATGAGTTTGAACAAAATTGCTTGAGCAAGGCGGGCTACAGGAGGCATTTATTTCAGTTCTGACAGAAGACAAGCAGAGATTGACATTTTAAAAATAATAAGCTAAATATTTAGCATTAAACTTGAATTTAGCAGTTTGTCTGTGGTATTATGAATGTTATATGCACATGGCAGCCATTCGTACAAATGATCAAATCACATATAAATGCATCACAATTTATCTTTGCGTTCATATATCAGACACAACAAGTTTAAATCCTCAATTTTTCTGTGCCAAGACAAACAAATAATAATATCAGGATTAGCTTGGAATTTAAGATTGTCATTGCTATATCTACACTAGCTATACTGTGCATGTGACAATAATTCCTTAAATGGAAGGATGCTTCAGTGCCCCACCATAATGTAAGTATTACTTTAGACAACAAGTCACAGAGATTAAGAACACAAAAAGCAACTGTGATAATATAGCCTATCCTTAAATAATCAAATAAATAAATGCTCTCTTCAGTTTAATCATATAGTGTTTTGTTTTTGTTGTAGGCCTAGTTATCAAAATAATAAAACAATACACAGCAATCAAATGTGTCGTTGGCCTATGTGATCACAGAATATGTGAAAATAACAGGGCTTTACACTGCTTTTAATAGAAACTGAGAACTACACACTAAGCTACTCGAAGGTAATAATAAGTATGTTTAATGCGTATTATTACATACAGTACACAAACTCAATGAACATTATTAAATCTGTTTACTTACCTCTTCAGGGCGGGTTTTGCTACATAAAACTGGTGTTGACACATCGACAGAGACGAGAAGCCTTCTTCAGTTTTACATTACATGGACGATCTCTTCACACCTGACAACCGGTGTGTCCGGCACCTCAGCTATGAAATGATTTTGGGTAGGAGGTGTCCTGTGAGACATGGAAGGGGAGGGGCTTGTTGTCGTCACAAATTGCCCAGCTGATCTGAGTACAGTACAAGACTACTTTCTCTATGTGACCACAACAAACATTGAATTACAGCCAAAGAGTGCAGATACCACAAGATGTCGATGTTTCAATATTGAATTTATTTTACTCAACATTTCCTTTGTGAAATGTATCTTGATCTATCTTCCCAAGATAGCAGCCTTCTGCATACTCTTGGGCAACACAAAATCCAACCTGCAAATGCACTTCATCTTGCTGCATACACACTCTTCGGCAGGAGAAGCGCGCAGCTGCGTGGGGGGAAACCCACAACGGCGCAGTAGGAGGGTCTGTATCACTTTTACCATTTCTTTCAGGAAGTCAACTTGTTTTGGTCGTGAAGTGAAGTGTTGTCAGGTGTAACACTAGTGTCTTCAGTCTAATTAGCGTTGATGGTAAACTATTCTTGCCTGGCTCCATCATGTCGGACTCTTCTTTGGAGCGGTCCACGAAGATCAACTTGTTGAAGGAGCCGGCGGCGAAGAAGCTCTGCGATGTGTTGGACAAATCCAGCAAGAAAGGATGGCGAAAACTTGGAGAGATAGTCGGTAATGACAGACGGTTCAGAGTCAGGTAGGCTGACTTTAATACATTAAGAATTGACATGGTTAACCGATTCAAATCACAACGATATTGTTGTTAAAACAATCCAAGCGTGTCTGACTCCAAGCGTTGCAGGCTGTATTATGGTATGATATATGAAATGTTTATTTTCTCATATAGATGAATTTACCTGGTTACTATAATAACATTGTACTTTATGTATTTGATTTTCTACACATTTAGTATTAAAGTGCCCAACTGTACTTTATAAGTTACAATTAAGTAGGGCCTAGATAGTACTAGCCTACATATTAAGCAAGGTGCTGGATTGTTATTGTGAAAAACATAAAAGACACAAAGGACATTAATGTTAATAATGCGTAACTCCTATAGATGGTTATGTGTCCACATCCTGTAAATGAACACATAGTTACAATAAGATTCTGTGCATAAAATCTAAATCTGTTTTTTTTTTACCGTTTGTATTATAGTTTTATTATCACATAATATGACATAATATTGAGAAAAAGACACATTTTACACCGAAAATGACGTAAACAAGCATTTTCAACAGAATCAGAATATATAATAACCTATTTTTTGGCGTCTTTTTAGAAAACAATTTAGGATTAAAAGAAGTTTCCAGCTCTGTGTTTGGATTTGTAATATCTGTGCTGAAGCTGAAACCTTGTTCTTACATTTAGATCATAGTTGAATATTTGGACGTGACAACAAGGTCAAAAGAATTGCACGTAATCCATTAATAAATCTATAAAGCCATCACCATGTAGATTTGACGTTATACTATTACTGTCCCCTATGCGGTGTTATTGCTGTTCAGCTATTGCCTGTTTATTTTGAATAGGTCTATGTTTCATTATCCTATATAAACCAGAGGGAAATTCCTTGTATGTGTCGACATACTTGGTAAAACATGTGATTGTTATTTCTAAAATATGACGTGCTGTCCTCCTCTTGCTTCTTTCTCTAGCTCAGACGACATGGAGATGTGCTCTCTGAAGGTGCTGGAGCTGGAGGGAAGCCCGAGCCGCATGCTGCTGAGGCTCATGGGAGAACGAGGCTGCACCACGGGTCAGCTGGCAGACTACCTCCAAACTGTGGGCAACTCTGAGGCCCTGCAGTGCCTGAAACCCCCAGGTACAGGAACAACGCCTCCAGACTTTTGTTATCATGATATCAAGTCTCCAAATCAGGGAGATCTTTGTTCTCTGTATTTGTAACTTTAGCTTTAAAGGTAAAGTATGACTCACCTTTACAGTACAACTGCCAGCCAGGTTACAGTGAGTAAAAAAGCTCCTAATTCAAGTAAGGTTCAATCAGTTTTAGTTTTGTATTTATTTATTGATTCTCTATTATTGTTAAAGTAATCTTTCTTAATTAAAAAATTCAGTTATAAGTCTCTGGAGATTTCCCGCTTTTCTTTGTCTTCTATCACATTGAACTGAACGGTTTAGACTGACACAACAAATCACTTACAGACATCACCTTTGCCTATTCCTAAACCCTTACATTTCATAGATTGAAAAATAATCAATGAATCTAGGAAATAGTCATAATGTTAATTGTAGTAGTTAAGTACAGTGAGACTGCATTGACACTTTTAGGGGGAACCACCACCATATATAAACCCAATTGGGCGATTTTTACATGTTGTATTTAGTGTTGTCTTTGCTACAGATGTCTTTCAAATTAAAACAAAGCATGAATTAAAATACAAATTCTCCTAAAGCCCTGCAGATCCTCCTTCAGCCCCAGTCGGTGGCTCTTATATCCGGTCATAATCTTCGGCTGAGCTGCCTTGCTTCGGGCAGATCTCCAGTTCAGTACCAGTGGTTCAAGACCAAGGAAGAGGTGAGCTGCCACACCTCCCATACACTAACAACTTTAAAGGAAGGTGTTTTTGGATCAAATATGTGTGTGTTTCTTTGTTTTGTTTTTTGAAAGATGGCACTGTTTTGCCAGAGTCTGATCATTTTAATGCACAAACACAGACACAGATACCTTCTGCATAATGTTCTCTGATCTTGAAAAATAACTAAAAACCTACAATGCACCTTGTGTATTCAACAAGATACACAGCCCTGGAAAACATATGTTTTGATAAATAGAGTAGAGCCAATGGGGGATGAAGAAAAAAGACCTAATAGTAAACGCTAAAGAGGTAATTAATTTATTTAAAGTTAGTAAACAGTCTTCATATTTTCCACAACCACAGGTACCAAACAGCTTCTCTGCGGACCTGGTGATAAGTCCAGTCCATCTGAAGGACGCTGGCTTTTACATCTGCAGGGTCAACTCTGGAGATGCTTTTGAATTCAGCCGTTGGGCTCAGGTGGAAGTCATGGATGTCACAGTGTCTTGCGGTAAGATATTACACATGTTAAACTGCTGCTCTGTTTAAAACTATATTTTCCCAACGAGATTGTAGAGATGAAATACCAATAATGGCTCGTGTCCTTCTCCTATCAGGGCAGAGTTATCACTCCTTAGAGGGTCGGCTGAAGATGGTGATCCAGCCTCAGTCCCAGCGGCTATATGTAGGGGAGTCCCTGCAGCTGGAGTGTGGAGCGGTGGGACGGCCCATTCCTCGATACCAGTGGCACATAAATGGCGTACCGCTCTCCAACGCCACAAAGAGGAAACTCATGGTGAGGAGAGGTTGTTAGGGAAGATTTATAGGTTAAGGGTTACTTAGGTTACTTTTTCTTTATGTTTGGAGACTTTTTGTTCTGTTTAAAGTGAACAGACGGCAACATTTAGGCAGGAACATCTTTCTTTTTTAAGGAACAAGGCTTTAATACGACTTGAATGGTCCGATCAAGTCTGAAATTTGAATTGCATCACAGCAGCTCCATGTTAATCAAAAACATCTATGCATTTTAGATTCCTCACTCGATACAGGATCAAAGCGGCAGGTATCGCTGTGAGATCAGCAGCAGCACAGAGAGAATGTGGTCCAACGAAGTGGACATAGTGATCGGTAAGTCACACTTCAGTACATTTTTTAAAGTTGCAATTACAGTCCTGTAAAACCAGCTCTACTGTTGTTACACTGAACAAAAATATAAATGCAACACTTTTGTTTTTGCTCCCATTTTTCATGAGATGAACTCAAAGATCTAAAACATTTTCTATATACACAAAATAACCATTTCTCTCAAATATTGTTCACAAATCTGAAAAAATCTGTGATAGTGAGGACTTCTCCTTTGCACAAACTGTCAGAAACCGTCTCAGGGAAGCTCATCTGCATGCTCGTCGTCCTCATCGGGGTCTCGACCTGACTCCGGTTCGTCGTCGTAACCGACTTGAGTGGGCAAATGCTCACATTCGATGGCGTCTGGCACGTTGGAGAGGTGTTCTCTTCACGGATGAATCCCGGTTTTCACTGTTCAGGGCAGATGGCAGACAGCGTGTGTGGCGTCGTGTGGGTGAGCGGTTTTCTGATGTCAATGTTGTGAATCGAGTGGCCCATGGTGGGGGTTATGGTATGGGCAGGCGTATGTTATGGACGACGAACACAGGTGCATTTTAGTGATGGCATTGTGAATGCACAGAGATACCGTGACGAGATCCTGAGGCCCATTGTTGTGCCATTCATCCACGACCATCACCTCATGTTGCAGAATGATAATGCACGGCCCCATGTTGCAAGGATCTGTACACAATTCCTGGAGGCTGAAAACATCCCAGTTCTTGCATGGCCAGCATACTCACCGGACATGTCACCCATTGAGCATGTTTGGGATGCTCTGGATCGGCGTATACGACAGCGTGTTCCAGTTCCTGCCAATATCCAGCAACTTCGCACAGCCATTGAAGAGGAGTGGACCAACATTCCACAGGCCACAATCAACAACCTGATCAACTCTATGCGAAGGAGATGTGTTGCACTGCGTGAGGCAAATGGTGGTCACACCAGATACTGACTGGTTGTCGGACCCCCCCAGACCCCCCCAATAAAGCAAAACTCCACGTTTCAGAGTGGCCTTTTATTGTGGCCAGCCTAAGGCACACCTGTGCAATAATCATGCTGTCTAATCAGCATCTTGATATGCCACACCTGTGAGGTGGGATGGATTATCTCGGCAAAGGAGAAGTGCTCACTATCACAGATTTGTTCAGATTTGTGAACAATATTTGAGAGAAATGGTTATTTTGTGTATATAGAAAATGTTTTAGATCTTTGAGTTCATCTCATGAAAAATGGGAGCAAAAACAAAAGTGTTGCATTTATATTTTTGTTCAGTGTATGTCTGTGTGCTTATTTGCTTTGCTCTTAACTGAAAGAACCGAGGATATCTGTCCAGATTTCAGTGGCAATGGAGTGCTCAGAAGGTAGATT